AAACAAACAGCCGCTTTCGCCGCGGGTGTCACCCACCTCTCTGTCCTTCTTTTCTTGTGCCCAGAGGGGTTTGCTGGGGTTGGGTTTTTTGTGGGTTTTTTTTTTTTTTTTTTTTTTTTTTTTTTTTTTTTTTTTTTTTTGTGTTCTCTTGCTGCACAGAAGTCCTTCAGTCTGCAAATAGTGTTTCCGGATAAGAAAGGCTCTTCTCTGCTTCCTACTTCTGTACTCTCCGGCAAGCTCCTTCTGCAGCTATAAATTAAATAACTGCACTTGCAGGTTTTTGTTTGTTCATTTAGTTATTGGCAAACCACAGGTCCCGGAGTCATAATAGTTATGAAGAGTAAAAAAAAAAAACCAAACCCAACCTTCTAACAATGGGGAAAAGTAATCTGCCCACAGGCACAGCATCTTATCTGCTATACTTGTAGAGACAGAAACAAGTCTTTTCTCCCTGAGGGAGACATTCCAGTGTCAAAAGAGCTTTGAGGGCAGTGACAGAAGTGAACCATGCCTTGTGTATAAAATATAATCTCACATGAACTTCAGAGATAGAGAGGAAGAAGAGATATGCTTCAAATAATACATGTTCTATAGCAATAAATTAGCAATAAACAGTCTCGGTTCTGCAGAAGTGTAAGCTCCAATGAAGCTTTACACAACATATAGCAAAAGGTGGTAGTTTACAAGTAAAAGCCCTCCGTAGGTCTGTGCTGTTAAGATTGAGGTTTTGTTAGAAGTGTTTGTGGGAAAATAGGCTTGTTTCTAAAATACAGCAGGATTTTTTTTGACTGATGTCTTGTAATGAAGACTAAAGCATGACTGTGCTGCAGATTTGTTGAAAGAAGGGCAGGCACCAAGTTTTCAGCAGAGAGAATTTTGAACTTCTCCCTGTGGGTGCCCTTGAGCTACTGGGGAGAAGACAGCTCCCCTTTGTCCTGCAGCTGTCAGCTGACATGCTCCAGACGGCCAGCTGAGCTGCGCGTTCGACTCCACCACGTTTCACCAGCTCACCAGGAAAGTGGAAGCCTCAGCCAGCCTGTGTTTCATGGCCAGCATGCAGAAAGGTTCCTTACCCACTCCCAGAGTCAGTCAGTTCATCTCTCTCACAAACAGCTGTGGCCTGGGAGGTCTGTCCCTTCTAGATGCTGGAGATAGCTTCCATCCCAAGGTGATAGCTCTGCTTCCCTCTGGAGACACTTTTTAGTCTTAACTACTTGCTTTTCTTTCACTTTCTTGAAAGACATGAAAGACTGGTGTACCAGGGGAGCTCAGTTTCCAAATGTCAGTACATTTCATCTAGCTTCTATTTAAAGAGTTAGTTGTGTGGTTAAACATAAGCTTGAAAGTTCAGGGAAATTGCTCCAATTTGTGCTCTGCTGAGATTCTCTTTGGAAAGCCTCCATGCTTTTCTCTGCCTCAGTTTCTCAACAGTGCTATGTGAGAAGCATTTCTTATATCCCAGAGGGATACTATGAAAAAATATAGTTCATTATTTGTTTAATTAGTATAATACTGCTATATAAATACCATACACATATTAACTAAGGAATAGGGCCTTTGATATAGTATATAGAGGAAAACAGGAGAACAAGTTTGTTTTTTAAATCTGCAGTCAGTTTTAAGTAGTGAATTAATGGTATTTTAAAAACACATGGTGGGTACATGGGAGGCTGGATTTAATATATATGGAAAGACTCTGCCACATATGAGTTCTCATAGGATTGCAATAATAAATGTCAAAAAAACTCTGGAATGCATCAAAGACATGGGGTCTTAATAGATAGTCTGGTTTTGGATTGTTTTGTTTTTTTTTTAATAGGTACTACAATATTTCTGGAT